CTCTCCAAGAGGAGATAGCCCAATGTGGGGCTCTATCCCAGGACTCATGACCTGACCCGAAGGCAGACACTTAACTGACTGAACCACCTAGTTGCCCCTGCTTCATATACTTACATACACTGTTTTTCCCCCTTTGCCCCTGTAGCTTTTTAAGAACACTTAAAAAATACAGACATAGGATACGATGGAAGGGTTGCAGAATATACCATCCCAGAATATACCTCTTTGGGATACAGATTTTTTTGAGCTGATTGAAAAAAATTTTTTTTAGATTGGCTCCATGCCCAATATGGGGCTGAACTCACAAGCCTGAGACCAAGAGTCTCATGGTCTACCAGTTAAGCCAGCTGGGTTTTCCTGAGCTGAGTATTTTTTTTAAGATTTTTTTAAAAAAATTTATTCATGAGAGACACAGAGAGGCAGAGACCTAGGCAGAGGGAGAAGCAGGCTCCCTGCAGGGACCCTGATGTGGGACTCAATCCTGGGACTCCAGGATCACACCCTGAGCCGAAGGCAGACACTCAACCACTGAACCACCCAGGCGTCCCCTGAGCTGAGTATTTTTGAGAAGCATTAGTCACAGAAGCTCTGTAGACACAGTGGAAGTTACTCTTCTGTAAGGGACAGATACACAAAGAGGGAGATATCTTTACAAATGTAGGTTTCCTTTATAAAAATAATCTTCCTCTTTGTGCCAAGGGTGGCTTTAAATCACAGGAAAATCTTATCAACAGGGAAGTCTTTTAAGACGAATTGAAGATGACTTTAAGATGACTTATATCTGCACAAGAAGCCTTATCCTTGTTTGCCTTTTTTCCTGTTAAACTTCCCACCCCCCCACCTGCCTCCATCAAGGCTCTGGCCTCTCTAGGCGTTGAGCAGTTCTCCTGGTGCTCTCCCGTGTATATGGAGGTTTACCTGGTGATAAACTTTTGTTTCTCTCCTGTTTATCTTTTATTAAGAGCATCTCAGCCAAGAGCTCAGAAGGGCCGAGGGAAATGGCTTTTCCTCACCTGCATATGACACTTGTATGTCACCCTAGGCCAGCTTCAGTGGCTATCCACTCATGAGCGGTCTTTTTTTTTTTTTAATATTTTATTTATTTATTTATTCATGAGAGAGAGACACACACACACACACACACACACACACAGAGGCAGAGACACAGGCAGGGGAAGAAGCAGACTCTATGCAGTAAGCCCGATATGGGACTTGATCCCAGGACCCCAGAATCATGCCCTGGGCCAAAGGCAGGCACTAAACCGCTGAGCCACCCAGGTGTCCATCTCCTGTATAATCTAGTGCCATTATTTGCATTAATATTAACAGTGATATTAGGTATCATCAGTATCTAGTGCTCAAGTTATTTTTTCCCTTGCAGTTCATATCTGTATCCAAAATTAGGTGCGTTTGGTTCATAGAGGGTTTATGGGTTCCTTTCCATTCCCTCTCAACTGTAGTTTTATTTTTATATTCACATTGAATACTTGAAACCAAGTTGTCTGTCCCATGGAGATTCCCACTGTCTGGATTTGGCCTAGTCCTTATCCCCTGTATCATTTAACATGTTCCTTTGGAAGCCTTACATTGGTGGTTAGATTTAGAAGCTTGACATGACTCAGTATTTTTTTTCTTCCCTCCTCCATGGCAGATGTACTTTGTAGGTCCAGTGGTGTGCCTCGCTTATTAGGGACATCCTGTCTGCTTGTCTTTCTTGTGTGGGTGACGTTAGGAGCACTATTCATGATCGTTGCTCAAGATCCATTAATTTACTAGATGGTTGTAAAATGTGGTGATTCTCATTCTTCTGTGTTCATTCATTGCTTTTCCTCTGTTAACCTTAAAAATAAAAACTGCCAGGTATTTTAAAACATGGATTTATTCAGGAATGGGAGACAGTTGCCATCTGGAACAAGCCCATTATGACCAAACTGGAGGCAAGTCTGCCAAACACTTTTATAGGGGGAAAGCAGGAAGTTGGGAGGGGCTGTTCTAAACAGGCTCACTTTTTTGTTGTTATGTTTCACTTGATCATTTTTTTCTTGTTTGATGGCTTATTTCTATTTCCCATGCTTTCTTTTTTTCTCATGGATCCGGGATGGTGGAGTTGGGCAAGAAATGTTTCAGTTACATGGGGTAGATGCAAGTTTTGGCATCTAGCCATGTAATTAAGTTATCTTAGGAAGCAAGAGGTAGGGCCTAAAGGTCAGGTCCTTTTGGGGAGCTGAGTTCCAAATACTCTGTTGAAGTACCTGCTTCAAAGATTGAACTCCGGTAGAGCCTTGACTCTAGGGAGGGTTGTGGTAATCATACTGGGGTCTTCTAAAAAGTCCCTTATGATTTCATAATCCAGAAGCATTCCCATGAAGGAATAATAAAGATTGTATTCTCAGTTGGTTTGTGGGAAGAATCTTCACCTGCATAGATTACTGTCAAAAGATGGGAGTGTTTGGGGATCGTTGAGTGGCTCAGTGGTTTAGTGCCTGCCTTCAGCCCAGGGCCTAGTCCTGGGGTCCTGGGATCGAGTCCCACATCGGCCTCCCTGCCTGGAGCCTGCTTCTCCCTCTGCCTGTGTCTCTGCCTCTCTCTCTGTGTCTCTCATGAATAAATAAATAAAATCTTAAAAAAGAGAAAGATGGGAGTGTTTGCTCAAGCAAGTTTTGACCTTGCTCCTTGCTCTCCAGAAAGTTTTAATTATGGTTAGTTTCAGATTTAATAATACATATTTTCCCAGTTTTATTTCTTAGTATTTGGGGGTTGAGGATGCAGAATGGATAGGTGAGTGGGAAGCTAGGGGCCAAGAGCTGGCATTACTCATTTGTGAGCCTGTTTGTTTGATGGATTATTAAGTGCTGTCAGAAAAATCCAGGTGCTTAGGTGGTAGTGTCCCTCCGTTAGGTTGTGTTCTTTCTCACTGGGTTTGCTCCATCTATGCATTTTCTCTCTGATGGGTAAGTCTGATTATATTTTCCGGTAGCAACGCTCATGTTAGGCTCAAATGGAGAGCTGAGGAACAGTCAACAAACACCTGAGTCCCAGACCGGATCCTAAGTGTGATGCAAGTTTGAGATGGCAGGTGTTATCTCTGGTCTCCTGGTGGATAGCCCCAGGGTGGCGAGCTGCTGACTTGGGCTGGGACTGCCCACGTGTACAGTGTGATATTCTTGCTTCACTCTGTAAGCCTCCAGATTTTCATCTCGGTATTCCCATACACGGTCTGTTTTATGGCCCGCTGTATTTGGGTTGCTTTCATAAACTCTTGGGACGAGTGATTGGGCATGCTGATCAGACAACAGTGAGCCTTTGTGTTCTTGAGATCTGATCATCTTACTTCTACAGTGAGCATCATTTCCTTGTAGTAGAAAAAGTGCCCTGACCTCCTGAGCGGTGAGGCTGACGGGGACATCTGTGAATGGGTGTGTGTAGGTGTGTGCAGTGTTGGGGGTTTCATGTCATACCTCTCTGAGGGATGGCAACATCTTTCTATAAAATATCCAGAAGGGGCACAGTTGGTTTAGAAGAAAATGCATGTTAGTTGTGTTTCAGGTTTGGTTTTTTGGGTTCCCTTGGTGCCTCCCTCCCTTTTAAAACTTTATTCATGAGAGACACAGAGAGGCAGAGACACAGGCAGTGGGAGAAGCCAGGGTCCTTGGGTTAGTGTGATGTGGAACTTGATGCCAGCACTCTGGGATCACACCCTGAGCCGAAGGTACTCAACCACTGAGCCACCCAGGCATCTCTCCCTTGACCTTTTGTGCTATGGATTCTTCACTTGGGAGAGACAGAACAGAGGTATCAGAGCCAATCTGTTGGTTGTTTGCCATATCTGTGTTAATAAGGAGAGATTACCCAAGAGGAAATGTTTCTTTCAAAGTCAAGTTCTTGGAAGATCTCCAAACTTTTGGCATTAGATGAAGTGATGCAGAGGGCCTGTGTGTTTGCTTTTGGTGACATGGATTTGCATGGGCTGTTTGGTATTCCTTGATGCCAGAGGAAGGTGCCTTACAAGGGTAGAAGTAATTTGTGGAGTAGAGTGGCCATCTGGCAGGGAGGGGTAAGCTTTGCCAATTCTTTGCCATTAGTTTTAGGGTAAAAAATTTCTTTCCCTAAGTCTTATTCAGGAGGTAAGCCTCAGTGCTTCCTAACACATTGGTGTAGGACTTCAATTTTTTTGCTTTGGGATATAGATGATTGTTAAAATTCTTCAGAACCGATGCCTGTAATAATACGGCTGATGGTGAACCACTGATGGCATTATTTTTAGCTTGCCTTCTGTTGTGTTAAATTTTTGACTCTACGACCTAGTACTCGGCTTCTAGGGGTAGAGACATACGAAGGCAACACTACCACTGAGAGCCTGGGAACCTCCTGAACCTGGTCCTTTTCCTTCAAGAGAATTTGGAGACAGCACTTCATTCTTCTGATCTGCTGATATGTGGAGTTTTGGGTTGGGAAAAAGTGGTGGGTTCTTTATTTGATCTGTGTTTGTGCAATCTCAGTTTACCAAGGCTGTTTTAATGCAGAAGGGAGTTGCAAGAGCTTGCTTCTCATAAGCAAATCATTCTTGACTTGGCTTTGTGCTGGGACATTGACAGTGTAGATGAAATGGGTAGGCTGTGAGCTGGGTCTGCCCACCTGTAAGCACATGCTTTACGTGTCTTTTGCCACTTCTTTTCCTTATTCATCTTAGGCCAAGACTTCTCTGATACTTGCCAAATGTATTCTAAACACAGGCTATAATATTTGTTGAGCATCCACAGTGTACCCAAGCACAATGTACTAAAACTTTATTGCTTTTGCACTTAGAATTTTGGCTTACGGTTAAACTATTATCTCTTATTGTACATAAGAGAGTAGTTCTGTTTTTCTTTGAGATTAGTGGTGAACATAGCACTTTGTTAAAATGCCTTTTTAACACACTAGTAATAAAAACAAAGCTGTGTTAAGAAAAACTGGTATGACCTGTATTTCTAATTATAGCTTTTCTCTCTTCTCTTTAGGAAGGGACCAGAGTAATCCAGCCCATATTTTTGGGGAAAATTATTAAGTATTTTGAAAACCAGGACCCTAATGATTCTGTGGCTCTGCACGAAGCCTACGGCTATGCCACGGTGCTGACCGCCTGCACACTCTTTCTCGCAATACTGCACCACTTATACTTTTATCATGTTCAGTGTGCTGGCATGAGGTTAAGAGTTGCCATGTGCCATATGATTTATCGGAAGGTAAGTGTCATTTAGTATCAGCATGTATATCTCCCCAGAAGCAGCTGAAACATTATGGAAAAGTTCATGAATTAAACATTTTGTAAATAGAATCTTAACTTTTATTTAATTTTTTAAGGGCAGGGGTGGGAGGGACAGAGGGAGAGGGAGAATCCATGCCCAGCGTGGAGCCCAATCCAGGTTTGGTCTCATGACCAGGAGATCATGGCCTAAGCCATAATCAGGAGTCTGACATATAACCATCTGAGCCACCCAGGTGCTCCTAGAATCATTTAAACCTTATCAGAGAAGCTTATTTTATATCGGGTGAATTAATTTTTTTTCCTTTAAGTGAACTTTACCGATACACAATGAAAGTTTTCTATGAGATCAGGTCCAGGCTGACTTTGATCGCATTTAGGCACAGGCTTTTCAAAGTATTCTATTGGTAATGGAATCTAATTAAAAAGTAAGCATTAGGGGATCCCTGGGTGGCGCAGCGGTTTGACGCCTGCCTTTGGCCCAGGGCCCGATCCTGGAGACCCGGGATCGAATCCCACATCAGGCTCCTGGTGCATGGAGCCTGCTTCTCCCTCTGTCTGTGTCTCTGCCTCTCTCTCTCTGTGTGACTATCATAAATAAATAAAAATTAAAAAAAAATTAAAAAAAAAGTAAGCATTAAATTGATCTAGGTGTATCAAATTTCCAGAGTTTTCATGCATGAATCTCATAGTGGTATGTGTGGAAATTGTATTGTTGTTCATTAGAACTTTCATGTACATCAAAATTGTATTTTATAAGTGTCCTTCTGTGAAATTGGGTGTATAAAGTTGAATCTAAAAGATTGTATTTGAGAAAAGGGAAAATTGTACTATTTAAATGAACTACTTAACTATGTTTAGTATAATTGTTAAGGAAAAATATAGAGTTCATTGCAAACATATTCACCAGTTCTGTAGCTACGTTTTTTTTTTTTTTTTTTTTTTTTTTTTAAAGATTTTATTTATTGGGACACCAGGGCAGCTCAGCAGTTAAGCATCTGCCTTCGGCTCAGGGAGTGATCCCGGAGTCCTGGGATCTGGGATCGAGTCCCACATCGGGCAAGGAGCCTGCTTCTCCCTCTGCCTGTGTCTCTGCCTCTTTCTGTGTCTCGAATAAATAAATAAATAAATAAATAAATAAATAAATAAATAAATAAATAAATAAATAAATAAAATAAAAGGTTTTATTTATTTATTAGAGAGAGAGCTCATGCTTGAACATGCATGGGGGAGGGTAGTGGCAGAGGGAGAGCAGGGAGCCTGATGTGGGGCTCCATCCCAGGACCCTGAGACCATGACTGGAGCCTGGAGTGGAAGATGGTTGCTTAACCCACTGAACCAGCCAGGTGCCCTGGTTTTTTTTTTTTTACTAGTATTAAAGAAAATAGTTGATGTTTGGAATGAAACTTCAAATGTTACATTGTTTTTAGTAAGTTTGGAGATTACCTACGTTCTACTTTATATTGCTTTCCCTTCAGGTTATTATTTTACTCACGATTATCTTCTTTAGTGTGCATTATAGTAGTTTTAAGGACAAGACCCAGTTTGATGTGTTCAGTGTTTTTGTATTGAGAAATGCCATAAAATTTTCCCATAGTTTATGCTGGTCTTATGTGTTAGGAAGGTAGTGAGGATTTCAGGTGTCTTGACCAGGGACTTTCCACAGACATACCATTGAGAACAGCTGAAGGGCTCTTGTACAAACTCGATCCTGGATATCTTTTTGCTTTGGGCTGTTTGGTTTAAAAACAAAAAAAACACTTCATTTTAACTGTATTGTATACTTGAAATTTGCTAAGAGAGTTCTATCATAAGTGTTTCCACCATACAGTCAAAAGGATAACATGTAAAGTGATGGATATGTTAATTAGCTTGACTGTAGTACTCCTTTTCCAATGTATATCTATATCAAAATGTGATGTTGTACACCTTAAATATATATATATTTTTTCAAGTTCATTTATTTTTTTTTAGTGATCTTTACACCCAGTATGGACTCAAGTTTATGACACCGAGATCAAGAGTCACATGCTTTTCTAACTGAGCCAGCCAGGGGCCCCAATAGATGCAATTTTTATTAAAAAAAAAAAGAAAAAATCCGTATGGAAAGTTAAAACCAAACAATTTAAATGTAAAATAATTGCTTCTTTTACCTAGTTGCTACATGTCTGGAGCTTCTGTTTCTTGTGAATACTTTTCTTGGCAAAATGCAAGATGTCTTCTCCACATCTTACTCTGAGCAGAGCCTTAGTAATATTGGAATTGTGTGACTCTTGAGGGTTTCTCTGTCTGTGTAGGCTGTGTTGGTTACCTTCAGTTCCTCTCTTGTGATGTGGAAATGGTAGCACTGCCTATATGCTCCAGTGAAGGCGCCTTCCTTGCTGTGCTCCTCCTCCTGTTTGTTATTCTATTGTAGTCTCTTATACTACTAAGGAGCATAGTCAGATTTCTTTATGAATTAGCTAGATCATGCTTAGCTTCCATAAATAAATAGGAAATTTCACTAGGACTCTACTGTGAAAAGGTTAAACATAGGAGCCAGGTTTGAGGTGATGGTTCAGTCCAAGAAAGCTCTTTGCTGCCCTGGGTGAGTTAGTTGTTCACCTGTTTTTCTTCCTCTAACCCACTTGAGGCTTTTGGGAAATCTTATCTGATCTGGCGCATCAGCTTACCTGAATGTAAACATCTCCCAAAGGTGTTAATTTGCTAGCTTGATTTGCCTCAAAGAATTGTCCCCTTATAAATAATTGTTTGGGTTAAACCATGGGCGGAACCTGAAATTGCAGAACTGTGGGAAAGACAGATTTCCTCAGGCATTTTCTTGTGTCTAGAATCTTGCTAGGTAAAGAAATAGGACACTTTTTCATCACAGGTGGGCTGATTCCTTCAGGCAGAAGCTGGCACCACAAAGTTCTGAGAGGCCCCTCTGAACATTTGTGCCTTATACTCAGGCACTACCTCCTAATCCCTGGTTCTGGGAGGTTGTGTGTCCTCACTGGAAGAAGCTGCTAAATTCCTAGTTGGGATCTGTAATATTCAAGGATATCATGGGATGTACCCTATATAAAAATGACTTGTCGTTTGTTTACCTTAGCACAGCATTGGTAAAACTACACCTGGCTTTTGAGCTTTGTTTTTTGTTTTTTATTTTTATTTTTTTAAGATTGATTATTTATTTATTTATTTATTTATTTATTTATTTATTTATTTATTTATTTAGAGCGCGCGAGAGAGGCAGAGACACAGGCAGAGGGAGAAGCAGGCTCCATGCAGGGAGCCCAACGTGGGACTCGATCCTGGGTCCCCAGGATCACACCCTGGGCTGCAGGCAGTGCTAAACCGCTGTGCCACTGGGGCTGCCCTGTTTTTTATTTTTAAAGATTTGTTCATGACACACACACACACACACACACACACCACAGGCAGAGACATAGGCAGAGGGAGAAGCAGACTCCTTGTGGAGAGCCCGATGTGGGACTCGATCCCAGGATCCTGGGATCATGATCTCACCCAAAGGCAGACACTGAACTGCTGAGCCACCCAGGGGTCCCTGTAACTCTTTTTTTTTTTTTTTTTTTTGTAACTCCTTTTTAAAGTTGAATACTATTCCACTGTATGGATGGTACCATGTTTTGTTTACCCATTCACCTGTCAGTGGGGTTGGGCGATTTGTCTCTAGTTTTTGGCAATTGTGAATAATGTTGCTGTGAACAACATGTGGGTGCACAAATACCTCTTCAGGTTCTTACAGTTCTTTTGGGTACATCTGCAAAAGTGGAATTGCTGGATAATACGGTATATTTTTGAGGAACTGTCATACTCTCTTTCACAGTGGCTGCGTCATTTTACATTCCCACTTGATCATTTCTTTGTTAAATTTGAGTACTAAATGAAGAAGAGTTTTTATGAACTATAATGTTTTGTTTGGATTGGTGGTTCTGGTTGGTGGTCTGTTGAAACAACCCATGGTGGTCTATTTAAGTTCCTCAACTCTCTAGGACTTTAAATTTTTTTTTTTAACCAAATAAAAGGATTTTGCAATAACGCAGGCTGCCTTTTTGTAAAGTCAACAGACTGGCATGAAGAACACAGAGATTCCTCACCGTAGTGATGTTTTGAACATTATACTTACTTTATTTTTTAAAAAGATTTTATTTATTATGAGAAACACCGAGAGAGGCAGAGGTATAGACAGAGGGAGAATCAGGCTCCCCCCAGGGGATCCTGACGTGGGACCCAATCCTGGGTCTCCAGGACCACGCCTTGAGCTGAAGGCAGGCACTCAATCACTGAGCCACCCAGGCATCCCAGTACTTGCTCATTTTAGAATGTCAGTGCCAGTCATGGGTCATAGTCTCAGGATGGGTTGCTTTCACCTCTACAGTGGGACCAGTGGCTAATTTCTTGCTTTGTTCTTGTCCAGGACACAGTAAAAGCAGGAAATGTCCTGCTTCAAATCTCATTTGTTACTTTCCCAGCTCAGAGCACACGATGTTAGGGCCATTTGGGGGAAGATGATAGCTTCAGGTATGACGAGCCCAGATTGAAGACAGAGAATGATCCCCATCCCCATCCTAGTAGAAATGGATCTCAACTTTGCCAGCCTGTTCTGGCTTCAGGCTTGAGTTGAAGCAAGCCTGAATGTTAGAGGAATATAGTACTAGAGCACACAGGATGGCATTCTCAGTAATGTAAACCATCCTCATGGTTTTATCCTGTGATACAGATTTTCTTGTATTAAATAACACATATGGCACAGAGCTGTTTCCTTAAGATTTCAAGCCTGACTAGCCCTGGGTTTCCTGACGAAGTCTCCTGTTTGAGGAACTGTGGTAGTTCTTATTTTGGACTTTAATGATAGCTTTGCTCTGAATTCCAGGTAAAGTCAGAACTGTCAGCTTTTGAGTTCATGGATGCTGTTCTCTGCTTCTGGTTCGTTGGTACAGACAGACTTCCTTGCAGAATTGGGTCATTTGGACC